AATGGTGTGTGCCAAGATCTTGGGTAGCTGGGGAATTGGGAGAAGGCATCACCCAAGGGTAAGGAGTGGAAAAAAGCACAACAGCCTACAGTAGTGGTTCTCAACCTGTGGGTCGTGACCCCTTTGGGGGTCAATTGACCCTTTCACAGGGGTTGCCTGAGGCCATCAAAAAAAAAAACACAAACACTTATATTCCAATTCATAACAGTAGCAAGATTACAGTTACGAGGTAGCAACAAAGTGATTTTACTTTTTAGGAGTTTATTTACTTATTATATATACAGTGTTCTGCCTGCATGTGTGCCTGGGCACCAGAAGAGGGCACCAGATCTCATTATAGACTGCTATGAGACACCATGTAGTTGCTGGGAATTGAACTCGGGACCTCTGGAAGAGCAGCCAGTGCTCTTAATCTCTGAGCCATCTCTCAAGTCCCAACAAAATAATATTATGGTTGGGAGCCACCACAATGTAACTGTATTAAAGGGCCACGGCAGTAGGAAGGTTGACAAATACTGTTCTACAATCTCTACACACACACAAATGGGAGGAGGGATCTTTCTTCTCTCGGTCCCTTTCTTCTTCACACCAGGCCTTAGGGAGAGTGATAGACACACGGAGGAAAGGGTGTTCAGGGCCAATTAGCAAAAACAAACTGGCAGAACAAACTAGATACAACTTACCAGGCCTAGCTCTAGAAAAGATTCTGGCTTGCCCTAGTCCTATCACCACACAGAAATCTGGAAATTATTAGATAAAGCAAAATAGCCCAAATTCATAAAGAAAAACATGGTGTGTTTTCCCTAATATTCAGATCTTCATATGTGTGTGTATTTAGGTGGATGCTAGTGTTGGTGTAGGTCAGACCTTGGGAGTTGTCTTGGTCCCAGCCAGGATATGGCACCACCTAGCGACCACTTGCAGCAGTTACAGCGGAATTGAATTTTGTGTCATTTCTCCTGTGGTTATATGAAGCCCACGGCCAAGGCCAGATTGTCTTTGTTACCGAAACTGCACCCTCATTTATGTGCGCAGGTTTGGGGTGGGGAAAGCGCTGGCGAATCCTAACCCTACCGCTCCATCACAGGTGAGTTGGTTGACTCAAGTCAAAGCTCCTCCCACCCGCAGGCTCCCCAGTGCTTGCAGGAGAGCAAGGGAGGGCATAGAATTGTTCCTGGTGTGGGTGCTCCTCAGGGACTGGAATTAACCTGCCACTGTTTGCAGAACCCCTGCAAAAGGCAGGAGAGCTATGAGTGAGAAAGACCTGTGAACCACCTACAGCATGTGTGTCTCTTTTGGCCAAAGTTCCTTTAGGTCTCTAAAGTTCTAATAATGTCCCTCTGTAGCCAGATGAGTACTGCAAAGATTTATGTTGCAGTCTAGAAATATCAGTCTTGGTGAAATCAGGTGCTTGCACACAACAGTAAGGACACCTGCTCTTTTTTGCAAAAGGGAGCCAGCATTTTGCTCCTTGAAAACACTCCACTGCAAAGCTTTCTCTGAGAAATGACCTGGATGAAGAATAGACAGGGTCTTGCATTCACGTGTATGTGGGGGGAGGGTGATATTATGAATGTATACACATGTGTGTGCAGGTGTGCTCACCCATGCAGGCATTTGTGGAAGCCTGAGGTCAACCTCAAAATGTCTCCCTCAGTCGAGACTCCACCTTATTGTTTTGTTTTGGGCAATAGGGTATCACTGTGTATCCCTGGCTGGCCTGTCACTTGCTATGTAGACCAGGCTGGCCTCAAACTCACAGAGATCTGCCTGTCTCTACTTCCCAGTGCCAGGCTTAAAGGTGTGTGCGACCAAGCCTGGCTCCTTACTTGTTTTAAGCCAGGATCTGTCACTGAACCTGGCGGCCTACAAAGCCTCTTACAGACCCTACCCACACATTCCTGTGTGGTCCAGACTCTGCCCCCTAGCGCTGGATTACAGGTGTGCACACTCACAACCAACTTAATACAGGTGGTGGGAATCTGAACTCAGGTTCCCAAGTACTTTGCCAGCTGAGCCATGTCACCAGCGCCAGTCCTTGGATTCTTGAGATTCCCAGCAAGAACAAGCAGAGAGCATAAGACCTGTAGCAACTGCCTGCTCCTCACATGTCCACTTTTGAGCTGGGTGGAGTGTTATCTAAATGAGTGGAGGAGGGGATGGCAAGTCGATTGTTCCCATTGATTGAAGCAGGGTTGCATCAGAATGTTACTAAAGCTGACCTTTGATGATGCCTTCCAATGATCCACTGCTAAGTTCTGTAGGGAGCACACACAACACCACCAACCTACAACTCTGAGGCCACGTATCAGGTGTGGCAGAAGGCTTCTGGGCTGAGGTTTCAGTGTGACCTCTGAGGAACAGGATGAAGTGTGTTCCTTGCTGACCCTGAAGAGCTGTGGGAGACCCATTAGGTGATGGAGCAAGAATCTAGGCAGCATGGTTTGTTTGGCCTCCGGAGTGCCTTAACCAACACTGAGGTGGAAGAGGGAAGGGTGGATTCTCCCAGATTAGCTGCAGAGCGGGTGGATATGTGGGCACAGAGAGATACATAAAAGCATAAACTGTCATCTGGGGAGACAGCTGTCACTAAAGTGCTTGCTGTGTAGATATTAGGGCCCAAATTCAAGCAAGCAGCACCCATCTGTATTCCCAGGACTGGAGAGTAAGAGACAGGAGAGGGTACCCGAGGCTTGCTGACCAACCAGTCCAGACAAACCTGCCAGATTCAGATTCAGATTCGGTGAGAGAGCCTGTCTCAATATAAATCGGGGGAAACTGAGGCAGATGTGGGGAAACCTCTGGCCCCCACATATGTATACACACACGCACAACAGAGAGAGGGGAGAGGGAGAGAGAGAGTGAAAACAAACATTAAAGGAACAACACTTGCACCACTCGTAAAATTCAATAGCAAAAGAAAGAAAGAAAAGCAGGTTTCATGGCACTTGTGGTATCCATTAACTTGTTCACTTGCTTCAACTCCAGCCCTGGACTCCAGCAGAGATCTTGACTTGTGCTTAAAAGATAACTAGGTCACACAGCATCAAAGTTTGCTTTATTGGTGATAGGGAATGGATAAGGAAAAAGAACATTTCCCAAAGGAAAAAAAGAAATGATTTGGGGTCCTTATTTGTACAGTCCTTAGCCCTCTGATATCTACACGCAAGTAGTGGCATGCTCACACTCACACACACACACACACACACACACACACAGAGAGAGAGAGAGAAAGAGAGAGAGAGAGATGAATATAGAAAGGAAGAGTCCTCAGCCTATTCCAAGAGGAGACCACCTCAAGGAAAGGAGAAATACCAAATACCAAGGGCAGCCATAGCTACTGCAGCTTGGCCAAAAACCCTTCACCCTGGTGGTGTGCTCTGACTTAGCTTACTTGCTACCTGCTAAAAATAATCCATGAAGGGTCAGAGAGATAGCTCAGTGGGGAACGGTACCTTGCTGCACACCTAAGGATCACCTGGTAAAAGGAAAAAAACAACCACAAAACTGCAAGTTGTCTTCTATGTCACACACACACACACACACACACATACACACACACATCCATACACACACACCCCTACACACACACATATACACACACAGATGATGATGAAGATAGATAGATACATAGATACATAGATGATATATAATAAATAGATACATGATAGACGGATGGATGAATGGTAGATGAATAGGTAGATAGACAGGATGTGGTATTGGTTACTTTTCTTATTGCCATGACAAAATACCTGACAAAACAACTTAAGGAAGGAAAGGTTTATTGTGGCTCACAATTAAGGACACGCTCCTTCATGGTGAGGAAGGCATGGTGACAGAAGCATGAAATGGCTAATCACACTGTATCTGCCATCAGGGAGCAGAGACAGCTCACTTTCTCCTTTTTTATTTAGTCAGAGACTCCAACCCATAGGATGGAACCTTTAAGCCCACAGTGGGGCTTCACAACTCAATTAACCCAGTATAGAAAACCCTTTATAGAAACGCCAGAGGCCTGTCTCCATGATGATTCTAGACACTGTCAAACTGACACTCATATGATCCATCACATCTTCTGAGGGATTCAATGAATCCTTGGTGCTGGATGCAATAAACCTGTTACCAAGAGAAAAACCAGAATAAAATCCCTGGTTTGACTGTTCACACAGTGGGTTTCTCTATAGCTTTGGAGGATTCCTGGAACTTGCTCTGTAGACCAGGATGGCCTCAAACTCACAGAGATCCACCTTCCTCTGCCTCCCAAGTGCTGGGATTAAAGGTCTGCACCACTACTGCCTGGCTTAAAATTAGTGGTCTTTAAAGTCAACTAAGGGACTGGGATGTAGTTCAGTTGGCAGGGTGCTTGCCTAGCATGCATGAAGCCCCAGGATCCATCCCAGGCACTACATAAACCAAATGTGGTGGCTCATGCCTGTGATCCCGGGGCTTGGGACATAGAAGCATTAGGATCATTATCAGTTACATTGGAAATTGAAGGGCAGCTTGTGATACATGAGATCCTGTCTCAAACGGTCAGTCAATGAAGTCTACTAAAAGCAAGGAAAGCTGGAGGTTTAGGTTTAGGTTTTCCCTTGATGATTAATCTACCAGGCCCACACTTTGGACATATTCAGAACTTTTGTAGAAGGAAGAGTTCATTCTTACAACAAGGTCATACAACACCTAAATCTCCCTGCTGACACCAGGGTAGGAAGTAAAAATAACACACCTTCAAACCATCTGCCACCGCTATACAGACCTCTACCCTACTGCTGTCCTTTTCACTTGAGGGACAGACACACAGGCTCTCTCTGCTCTGGGCAGCTCCTGTGTGTGAAGCCTGTAACCACACCTCTGCCCAGCCGGCTTGGGTACATTGTCTGAGGAAGATGTCCTTTAAGCTCTCTCATTGGCTGTGGAATCGCCTCCCCTGGGCAGGGCGCCAGGCCTCGGTGAAAGAGCTGTGCTTCCAATATAGACTTTCCTCCCAGGCACTATAGCAGCAATGGTGCCTGTCCTGCTGTCCCTGCCTCTCCTCCTGGGTCCTGTAGTCCTTCAGCAGACTGGTGAGTGGGCAAAACAAAGAAGATTGGGAGAAAAACAAAGGGAAGACAGAGAACAGAATTCTGAGCCACAAGAAGGGTCCCTCGTGTGCCTGGGATCCCCATGTGTGCTTTGTAAAGCTGCCATTAACCTAGATCACCTTTGTAGAAGCATTCGGGAAATCACTGGACTCGTGTTAAAGAAGAGCTTAAAGGATGAACCTAAGGGCTAACCGAGTAGCTTAGTTCATAGGGTGCTGTGCGTGCCTGAAGCCTTGGGTTCACTACGCCTTCTTCCGAAGTGAGACAAGGCAGCAGGGAACCAGGGAGACCTCAGTTCCAGGACAGGGAATGAAACTGTTCGCTGCACACAAATTTTTGGATGAAGATTTCTAAACTGTGCCAGTTCAAAAACTTGGTACAGCCCCAGAATGTTACATAGTTATTTATGTCTGTTTTATAATTAAGCATTGTGTTCAAACTGTTAAGTATATTCTAAGGGGCTATAAAGAGGACTTAGTGCTTAAGAGCACTTGTTGCTCTTGCAGAGGACCTGTGTTTAGTTCCCAGAACCAACCCTTGTGGCAGTTTATAACTGGCTATAACTCTAATCCCAGGGGAACCAATGCTCTTTTCTGGCCTCTTTGCGCAGAAAATTATGTGTATATGCAGTGTATATATGCAGTAAATAACTATTTAACCTTAAGTATATTCGATACTAAAAATATTAATTAGCAAGGGGCCTCTAGAGGATGGATGGATGGATGGATGGATGGATGGATGGATGGATGGATGGACAGAAACAAAGAAATAAGAATGGGTAACAGATGATGGTTGGATGAATAGATATACAGGAATGTATAGACAGATGATGGGTAGAAGGGTGAATATTAGATAGATAGATGATAGATAGATAGATAGATAGATAGATAGATAGATAGATAGATCCTAGACTTTATTGATGGTCCAATCTGCCAGGACTGATGAACTCCAAGTCCAGTGATAGACACTATCTCAAAATAAGGTAGCAAACTGGAGAGATGGTCAGCAGTAATAGCCTGATAACTCACTTTGATCTCTGGGACCCACATGGTAGAGAGAACCAACTCCTACAAGCTGTCCTCTGACTGCTACACACACATAGCAGCACATGTATGCACAGACATGCACAAGTCTCTCTCTCTCTCTCTCTCTCTCTCTCTCTCACACACACACACACACACACACACACGCAAATTTTAAGAAGATGGAAAGCAATGAAGACATCCCAACTTGACCTCTGACTTCTACATAATGCACATGTGCTCACACCCACAAGAATACATACATACATCATACACAATACACACACACACACACACACACACAAATAATTTTAGATGCAAATTAGAGGGTACAGTGTTGAGACAACACGGAACAATTTCTGACATGACATCCCTAGTAAAAATAGAAGCCCCTTCGCATGAGTGAACCCCCCACAGTGTGAGGTGGCACAAAGAAGAGAGGAAAAACTCCATGGCCTAGTCCTCCCTCCCGGGGCTCTACAGCTCAGAAGTGGGTCTCCTGTGCATAAACTCCACCCCTCAGAATTTTCTCCTCTTCTGCAGGGCCTTATTCTCTGGTCTTCCTCTACACCGGCTTGTCCAGGCCCAGCAGAGGCGTCCCCAGGTTTCAAGCCACTGCGTTCCTCAATGACCAGGCCTTCTTCCACTACAACAGCGACAGTGGGAAGGCAGAGCCTGCAGAGCCATGGGGCCAGATAGAAGGGATGGAGGACTGGAAGAAGGAGAGCCAGCTTCAGAAGGCCAGGGAGGAGATCTTCCTTGTGACCCTGAAAAACATCATGGACTACTACAAGGACAGTGCAGGTCAGTGAGCTGGTACAGACCAACAAGATGGAGTGTTTTACCTGAGGCAGCCCTGTGAATATGAGTGGAAAGGCTGGAACATTAATCACACACATGCACACACGCACACACGCACGCACACATGCACACGCATACACACACAAAGGAGAAGCAGGAAGCACAGGTAGACTTGCAGAGATTCATCTACAACCCCTTTCCCATTCATATCTCCCTCCCCTTCCCCCCTAGCTTCTTGTATCCTCAATCCGGACCTCACCCAGTAAAGGAAGTGGTATCAGAGTCACTTCTTACCCAAGGACCACTGACCTTTCAACTCAATACCACCACCCACAGGAGAAGATATCAGATTCAACACTATCCAGGTGGAAAGCAATAAAGGAACATTCCAGCATCCTGTGGGCTCAGAGTGTGCATGCACACACCCATGCACTTACACACACACACACACACACACACACACACACCACAATTACCTAATTAATTAGAAAGAAATTAATAGTAACTTGCCTTTACTGAGCACTTACTCTTTGCCAGGCTCAGGTATGAACACATTTAATACTCAAAAAATAGCATCTTCAAAGATTATTATTACTGTTGTCATTTCCAGGATTTTTTTTAAAGTGTTCCACATAAGCTCAATTATACTTAATGGTTCATTTAACAAGGCAGGTGGGCGGACCAGGAAAAGTTCTGGAATTTAAACCCAGACAGCTTAAGAGCTTTTAGAGCCTGTGCCAAAAGCACCGCTCGGGACTGGCTAAACACCCGCTGTTATAATCAGATTGACCTGTGCTAGGTAGGTTACTTTGTGTAAGGAGCAAGGCTTTAGAAGTTTGGAGTAAACACCAAGGGAGGTAGCTTGTCAGTAATCCCAGCATCTGCAGAGCAAAGACAGGGAGATTGCCATGAGTTTGTGGCAGCCCAAGCCCCAAGGTAGCTTAGGCTATAAAGTGAGCCCCTATCCCAAAAATAAACAAATAAGTAAATAGGATAGTGATCACTGAAAAGAAGGAAAGGATAAAATTATGTACTGAATAATTATTTGAATTGCAAAATAGAACTGACAAGTAGAAATTCCTATAATATGTAAGAAACCACAAATAATTCCTATTTAACTTGGAAATGCAGTTCAGTGTGATTGTGTTTAATTCTGAAGAATTCACCATCCACAAAAACATGTAAGTTCCTTAGATGAGATGATGCAAAAGGGCCTAGCACACAAGAGGTCCTGGGTTCAATCCCTAGCACCACATAAAACAGGGTATGCTTGTAAACTCAGCACGAATGAAATGAGAACAGGAGGGTCAGGGGTTCAAAGTCATTCTTGGTACCCAGAGTATCTGAGGTTAATACACAAGATCCTTCTAGAAAGAAATAGACTTGGGATCCATCCATAATTTATGAAATTCTGCAAATACAAAGAATACACTTCCTCTCAGAGTGACCTGAAACACCCAGCCAAGTAGTTTCTTCTGCTGCTGTGTGCCCAGCTAGCAACCTGTTTGCCAAGATAAAGTGTTTAGATGTCCCAAGCTAGCAGGAGTAAAAGTCACTCAGCTGGGGTTGGCACCCATCTGACTGACTCCCTGTGGGGTCGGGGAGGCTTCAGGGTCTCACACCTTCCAGGGAATGTTTGGTTGTGAGCTCCTGAACAACAGAAGCAGTGGAGCATTCTGGAGGTATGCCTACGATGGACAGGATTTCATAGAGTTCAACAAAGACATCCCAGCCTGGATCCCCTTAGACCCAGCAGCGTCGAACATCAAACAGAAGTGGGAGGCAGAAAAGAGCTACACACAGCGAGCCAAGGCATACCTGGAAGAGGAGTGCCCTGCAATGCTGAAGAGGTACCTGAACTACAGCAGATCTTACCTGGACCAAAAAGGTATGCCCTGTTCTGACGATTTGCTCCAAGTACTGAACTGAAAACCAAGGTGATCTCAGCCTCAGGGGACCATGACTAGTTGCCTCATCAATACCTATTAGTCCCTTAATCCCCCAGCTTTCATCTACTAGGATTCATTCCTTCTGAAGGAATGATGTGAGCACCAAAAGGAATATTCATCAAAACCTCAAGTGGGAAAAGCTAGGGTATATAGCTCAGTTTAAGAGCACCTGCCTAGAATCCCCCAATGAGGGGCTAAGGGTGTGGCTCAATAGTAGAGCACCTGACTAGAATCCCCCAGTGAGGGGCTGAGGGCGTGACTCAATGATAGAGCACCTGCCTAGCATATACAAGAGTCTAGATTTACTCTTCAGCACAAAACAGAAAACAAAAAAGTCAGAAATGAAACTGACTGAAACGGAAAGGTTCCCTAAATAACCCTCACTTGGCAGCACATGCTGTAATCCCAGCACTCAGAAGGCTGAGGCTAGAGGACTGCCATGAGTTCAGGGCCAGCCCACATGACAAGTACCAGGCCAGCTACACCCCATCTCAGAAAGAGGTGGGAGGGATGGAGAAAGAAAGAACTGGGATTCAGCTTCAGCTGTCATAGTTCAGATTCTGAACTCCATAGTAGTGATGCCTCTTGTCTTTTTTGTAGCGAGGAGGTAGGTGCATAAAGCGTCTGGCTAGGAAGAATGAACAAGCAAGAGCAGAACCAAGTGCCACACACTGAGACTTCCTCTGGGAAATGGGGAGAAAGACTATTTAGAATAGGAAACCGCTTAATGTGAACAGAACTGAGGAGCTGGGCTGAGGTGGCAGGGGGTAGTAGGACTATGTAGCACACTCAAAACACTCAGAATCTGGCCATAGTGATACATGTCAGTAATCCCAGCACTTGGGGCAGGAATATCACAAGTTCAAGGCCAGGCTGGCCTAGGTAGCAAGATCCTGTCTCTGTGTTTTGTTACCTGTGTGTGTATAGTGTGTGGGTATATGTATATACACACATATGTATGTATGAGGGTGTATGTGTGTGATGGTGCATGTGTGGAGATGCCTCAGCGGTTGGTCCCCCACCTTCCACCTTATCTGAGACACCAGGGTAGCCTGCCCACCAGCTTCCAGGTATTTCCCTATGACCATCTATGAGCTCTGGAAATAGAGTCATGCATGACTGCGTCCAACTTCCACTGTGTTCTGGAGATTTAAACTCAGACCATCATGTCTATGGAGCAAGCCTCACCCACTGAGCCATCTCCCCAACCCTGCCTCAGTCTGTTGCCACCGGAAGTCGATAACATGAGGCGTGAGAGAGCAGCTGTGGGCATATTACATAACCCGACAGGGGAGGCCTGCGGGAATCCGCGGGCCTCCCTGAGCTTCACAAAGGCCTCGTGGAGGAGTCAGATTGGATGGTCATGCAGGGAGTTAGGAATAAAAGCGTGGGAGGAAAAAGTCCCCCTTAAACACCCACATTTTATCCCTTCACAGCCCCTCCCACTGTGACCATCACCAGCCGTGCTGCCCCAGGAAGAAACAGGGTATTTAAATGCCTGGCCTATGACTTCTACCCACAAGGAATTAATCTGCACTGGAACCGGGCCGGTAAGGTGCTGGCATCTGGATCCGGAAGTGTTTTTCCCAATGGAAATGGCACCTACCTATCCTGGGTGGAGGTGGAAGTCCCTGCTCGGGACAGAGACCCCTACTTCTGCCACATAGAACACAGTGGACTGTCCCAGTCTCTGTCGGTGCAATGGGATGAGACAAGGAAAGCAAAAGCTGAAAGCAATGTAGCAACTCAGCCTCAGTAAATCGCTCTCTCTGCATGACCTGAGAGGGTTGGCATCAGAAGTCGACGTCACCCACAGGGTCTTCCATGGGCAGCTGTACAGCAGCTCACAAGAATCCAAGAAACAGGTCTGGGGGCAGAAGACTTGAATACCAAGCACTGAGTCCGCTCTCGGTGTCAAACCCCCTGGCCCTGTAAAACTCCTCACTGATTAATCTGTAAGCCCTCACAATGACCCCGGTGCCTGGCACTGCACAGAATGGCCTTTCAACCTCGTAGATGCTATACAAGTGTGAGTTGTGTCCTGTGTAGTTGTTGTTGTTGTTTTCTTTTTAACTCTTTGAGGGCCCACCACCCAGCTCCTAAATAAATATGCAGACACTTATTCTTATTTATGAATGTGTGGCCTTAGCTTGGCTTGTTTCTAGCCAGATTTTCTTCTACATTTTGCCTCTGGACGTTTTAACCTTTCTTTATTCTATGCCTTTATTACTCCATGGCTGGTTGATGGCTGGTTGTGCGGCTGGGCGGATGGCCCCCAGCATCCCCCTCCCCTTCTCCTTTTCTTGTCCCTCTTGGCAGTTTTCTTTTCTAGCCTAGATTTCTCCTTCTATTTATTCTCTGAGAATGGCATCCCCGCCTATTTCTCTCTCCTGCCTAAACACTGACCACTCAGCTCTTTATTAGACCAATCAGGTGTTTTAGGCACACAAAGTAGCACAGCTTAATAGAGTAAACAAATGTATCATAAAAGAATGCAACACGTCTTTCCACAGCATAAACAAATGTAACCCGATCTTAACCTAATATTCCACAACAGTCCTGCCCCCACATGGGAATGTTCTCATATTCACTCAAAGATGTCCTCATTTCATTTCTGTTGCTGTGAAAAGATAACCTGACAAAAGCAATCTTAAGAGAAAAAAGGTTTATCTGGCTTATAATTCCGGTCTCTGTTGTGTGATGCTGTTCCTGGGAAGACATGAAGAAACATCTACTAACCCCACTTAGGGAACCAACTACAGGTCAAAGACAGGATGCCACCAAAGTCCCACTTGGTGAAACAATTAGTTGGGGTTATTTACATGAATATGGGTAAGGGTGTTGTCACTTTAAGAAACAGCTGGAGAGAGAAAGACGACATGTGACAGAGTTCAAGGGAGGGATTTTTAATAAGGGAAAAGGACCATAAAAAGAGGAAGGTGGGGGAAGACCAGCCTCCAGGGACAGGAGCAGCAGAGAAAAGAAAGAAACAGACAGAGAGAAGGAGAGAGGGGGAGAGGGAGAGAGAGACAGACAGAGTGAAGGAGGAGAGAGAAAGAAACAGATAAACAGAATTAGAGAGAGGGGGAAGAGAGAGAAACACACACAGAGCGGGAGAGAAAGGAAGAAAGGGATGTGAGGTGGGCCGGTCTCTTTTAAAAGGGAACAAAATGAATGTGCACAGGTGGTGCTCTTAGTGGCAGCAGCTGAGGGCGTATCTTGTCAGAACTCCAAAGGCAGGCCAGTACAAATGCCTAAATACTAACAAGGGGGTTACTTACAGGAGCAGAAATAACTCAAAGACAGTTTCATTACCAAAGTCCATGGCAGCATGGGTGACAGCTCATGAAAGCTGGAAACCTACAGCCCTCTACACACCTGTAGGCAACTCCCTTTGTAGTTAACTCAGCTAGGTAAGCCTTTCCCAGGCAGCAAGGCTGGTCTATGCTCTTCAAGGAAGCTCAGCTTGTCTGAGACTGTCTTGTGGTGGTCTTTATTGCTCATCTAGGCTTGGAGAGGACAAGACCCTAATAAATCTGACCAGTTTCAGTGGCTTCCTGAAGTTAGTGAGTTTTGTTCACTTCCTAAGATTAATGAGATCCCCTGAAGGATGGAATATTTCACAACCTTCTGTGGCCTAATAAGCTTTCCTCTAAGATGGAAGTTTGTGATCTTGAAAGAAATTACTAAACAACAGTTGCAGTCCATCACTGTGGAGAAGCCAGTGCAAGGACTTGAGTCAACTAGTCACATCCACAGTCAAGATCTGGGAGAAAAATGAATGTATGCATGCCCACACCTGCTCAGTACCCTCTCTACATTTATACAATCCAGGGTCTCCTACCTAGGGGATGGTGCTGCCCACAGTGGGTAGAGACCTTCTCACCTCAATTAGCATAACAAGGTAATCTGAACAGATATGTGCACAGGCTCCGATGAAGCCTTGCCCACCTACACCTGTGTTCTTCCTCCATGTGCAACAAGGATTTCCTTCATAATCATGTATGCTAGCACTTACCTATTACCTCAAGACTTGGAAGGCTGTGGTAGGAAGATTGCTTCAAGTTTGAGGTCAGCCTGGACTATGCATAGTATGACCTTGTCTCAAGAAAAGAAAAACCTTTAAGGATCTGTATTGATCATCCTGGGATAGTAGAGGGCTTGTCTAATATGCACAAAGCCCTGGGTTCCATGCTGGCGTCACATAAAACTGGCTGAAGGTCATCCTTGGTGACACAGCCAGGTTTGAGACCCACCTGAGATACATGACACATGAGAGGGGATGAAGAAGAGAGAGGCAAAGCTAGAGAGACAGAGACAACATCATAAGAAAGCCAGGATGGAGAAAGATCAAACTTCCTGGAGGGAGTCTGGTTTCAGAGGCTGGGGTGGGTATGAAGTATTAGTACAGCTTAAGAGTCAATCCATTCCTGACCAGCGAGGTGTGAGACATTGAGAAGGGACGGTCTCAGGCATCTGCCAAGGAACATGATGTGTGAGTGAGGCTGGGCCATAGGCACAGACTGGAAACACCTGGAGGACAAAAGTGTCCCAAGAACCAAATGTGGAACCTCTCATGGCCAGCTTCTGCCCTGCTGTGCCTAGTAACAAGATAAGCATGCTGATGCAAAACCATAGTCCCCAGACATGGGAGGCTGAGGCAAGAGGATTGAAGAGTTTCAGGCCATGTTGCTTATCTTCAAAGGGAAAAGTTAACAGCAACAAATTCTTCTCTTAACAAAACCAACTTCAAGTGCAATTGGAGGGTATCCCCCAGCTTGGGAGGGCCCCCTTCAGTGATCCATTCGCTTGAGAGCATGAGTGTGTGTGTGTGTGTGTGTGTGTGTGTGTGTGTGTGTGTGTGTGTGTGTAGGGCCCACCTCCTTCCCCAGCACACCCAGTCCATCACAAGCCCTGTCTGATCTACTTCCATTACATATTCTCTCCTGACCTCCCTTAGCGCAGCTACCACCTAATAACAAAGCATCTTCAAAGTTCCTAGAATATTGTAGAAAATCAGCAACACTATATATCTCACTTGAGCCTTTTTTTTTTCCAAGATGACCAACCACTGACTGGGAACAGTGCCTTTATCTCATTCCTCATCCTCTTTAAAGACTAATTCAGGACTCCCTGTAACTACAAAACTCCAAGGCTACTCAAGTCCTTTATATAAAATGATGTAGAGAGTGGGGGTTGGCTCTGGGTGAAGGTGATGGCTACTCAAGTATGGGGGCCTGAGTTTAGAGTTCAAATTCCCACAACACTTACAAAAGCCAGGCAAGTAACATAGATTATAATCCCAGCACTCCTGTAGGAAATGGGAGACAAAAACAGGGACTCTGGAAACACACTGGCCAACTAGCCTGGCATGAGAAGCAGAAAAATGGGGCTGGAGAGATGGCTCAGTGGTTAAGAGCACAGACTGCTCTCCCAGAGGGTCAAGGTTTAGTTCCCAGCACCCAATGGCAACTCACAGCTGTCTCTGATTCCAAAATACCAATGGACATAATAAATAAATACCCTGTAAATTTTTTTTAAGGAGCAGAAAAACAACAGAGACCCTGTCTCCAACAAGTGAGGCCCAACACAACACCCGTAAGCACCCACACTTACTTATCAGGCCAAGGGCATCTGATGTGCCTTGAGGAAAGAAACCAGGCCAGGTGGGAGGGGCCACAGCACAGCTGAGAGTGTGACAATTTTATTGAGAGCAATCAGGCTTTTCATACCTGTGTCAGGCTTTTTCTTTGGGGCCACCAACCAGCTCCCCAATCATTGACATGGAGAATTAATATTAGTTATTAATGCTAAGTCCTTTCTTATGCTTGTCCCACTAGCTCTTATAACTTAACCTGCTTCTCTCCATGTACATTTTGCCTCGGGCCTTTTTGCCTTTCTGTAGATCTTACTTTCACTGCTTCTCACATCTGGATGGCCGGCCGGCAGCTGCCTGGCTTCTGCCCCAAGCGTGTCTCTCTCTTTTTCCCTCACTCTCTTCTTCTCCCCTCACTCTTCTCTCCAGCCTAGATTTTTGCTCCTAATTATTCTCTCTGCCCACCAGCACCATATATCCCTTCTTTATCTCTGCCTAGCTTTTGGCCATTCGGCTCTTTATTAGACCAATCAGGTGCCTTAGGCAGACAAAGTTAAACAAATGCAACACATCTTTACATAATTAAATAAATGCAACATAAGCAAATGTAACACGACTTTACACAGTTAAAACAATACTCCATAATATATACTTTTATTAGAAACAGAGTATAATAGCACTTGCCACGATCAATACAATTGTAGTTGCTAGGATATAATGGATATAATGATGCTTGCAAGCTATACAGGGTACACAAGATTAATGTCTAAGACCAATTGTCCTGTAAGGGCTTCTTGCTTCCTTGACTACTAAAGGAACATACAGAGAAACACACAGTGGCCTGAATGTTTCACTGCCTGAAGGAATGCATTGGTCTCTCAGGAACTAGAAGGCACTTTGTGCCTCAGAAGCCATGAACTCTAACCTGAAAAACCCATGACATATGCCTCTCAAGGCAGCTAGGCCAAGCCAACTCCATGGTTTCCTACAAACACCCAAGACTGTCCTCTGACTTTTACATGCACACTGTGGCATGTGTGCACCCAAATCCACTCACACAAATGTGTACATACACACATGCATATAACCTATCCACATCATCTCATACAGTTTAAATCATTTCTAGATGACTTACAATTTAAATGTTGTGTGAATAAATGCCATTCTATACAATTTGAAGAGTAATTACAAGACGGAATATTACAGGCACAATATTTTCCAAAATGTTTTCAGTTCACAGTAAGTAGAATGTATAGATTAAGAAGCCATGGGTACAGAGGGTATTAGAATTTTCAGAGCAGTCACTGTCTAGATTCTCACCTAGCCTGCAATCCCATCCATTGTATTCCTTTCTCTGACCTTCCTTGCATCCATTCCCTCTGTGGCCAATGAGCAACAGTCTTGGCTGGATCTCTACAGACATAACAGGAATATGGAGGTA